CTCTGGTGCTATGAAACTTCGCAGGGAGTCGTGGACCAGGTCAACGAGGCATTGGCAAGGCGACGGGCTTCAAGGGCAGCTCGCCAACAGGACCTGTGGGCATTTTTTGCGTCTTTCACTTTCACTCTTCCAGACATGTGTAGAAATGTGCTCGTAAATGATGTGCGAAATGTGGTGATTTTGTTGCTGCAGGGCTTAAACAGTGCAGCTCTTCAGGACGCGGATCCTGAGAGCGATTCGGATGATTATGATGATGATGACGATGACGACAACAACAATGATGAGGGGCATGGGCCCGAAGGCAGGCCTGACGATGACGATCCGCCGGCAGAGCCTGCTGGATGCGATGACCTTTCGGCGCTGGTGAGCCAGTTCAGAGCGGCGGCCGAGTCCTCCGAAGCCGAGCCTGTCGTCAACTTGCTGGACGATGATGTTACCGGTGCCGGTGCCGTCCCAGAGGCCCCCACAGACCTCGACTGCTATGTTATGCCAGACGTCGAGCCCGCTCCAGTGCCAGAGGTTTCCAGGGATGATCAGTCCAATCCAGTCCCAGAGGTTTTCGTGGATGATCAGTCCAATCCAGTCCCAGAGGTTCCCTTGGATGATCAGTCCACTCCAGTCCCAGAGGTTTCCGTGGATGATCAGTCCACTCCAGTCCCAGAGGTTTCCGTGGATGATCAGTCCACTCCAGTCCCAGAGGTTTCCTTGCTGGATGGTGCGTCAAGCCAGGATAGTGGTAGAGCCTTGGAAATGGGGGCGACTGCCAAAGCCTTTGCTCCGGACAAGCCTGAAAGTTTAGGACTCAGTTGCGCAGGGTTTGAAGTCTTCGTTTTTTGGACATGATTGGTGTGAAAAGTTATTGTTTGGCACGCGGGCAACATAGGTGAGAAGGAAGCGGCTGCCAAGCAGGAACGTTTGAGGCGCGTCAAAGAACAATTGCAGCAGCTTCTCGTCTGTATACTTTTCTTTTTGCTATATATATATATATATACAGATATAAACACTTTCGTATATATATCTATATATATATATACGTATATACAAAAAACACGCAGTTCAGTCTGTATAAATAAATAAATAAAAATATATATACATATATATGGACAATTTTCATAAAGACATATAGATCTTATCTTTTCATATCTATATATATGTACCTGGGTAATAAGTAAATATATAAAATAAATACAAATAAACAAATAAATAGCTATATTTATATGTATATATTACTTATTTTATATTTATACATTTTTCTATATCTAGCTGAGGTTGCGCGAGAGGCGTGACTCCATCGCTACAGCTTCGGCTACTCCGAAGAAAGATGGTCCTTTGCCTGTTGGTGGGAAGGTTCTGCCAGCTGCAGAGCCAGCTCCGGTAACAGGTCATTGTGAATGAAACAGCTATATACTGGTCGGTGTATCGGTTCAGCCTCTGTAAACACACCGTGTGTGCACGCAGGAGCCCTGGACAACGTGGACACACAGCCCGTCCCGATCCATGAGGTTCCAACCCCCCCCCCCCGTCGGAGAAAGCGCATCCGCCCAGCCCAGATTCGTCCTCGCCCAGGCGTGCCAAGAAAGCCTTCCAGCGCAAGCCCCCTGCCCGGGAACCCTACAACCCGTACTCGCCTGAAGTTGTGGACCCAAGAGCCGCCGCCTCCACCGACTACGTTGAACTTTCGCCTGAAAAGGAGAACGCCAAGGCCCCTTTTTTTCCGTTATGAATTACTGCCCCATGCCATTTCAACAACAGATTCCGCAAGACCTGTCACTTTTAGAATTCGATCCGTGCAGGGCTCCATTCCGGTGGCTACGAGGATCGATCAGCTCAGGTTGAAGGCGACCAAGAAGGACCAGGAGGGTCGTGGTGGGCGTGGTCGTGGCCGTGGTGGGCGGGGTCGGGGTGGTGGTCGGGGAAAACCGAAGCCCGAAGCCACGGAGGAGGCTTGGGATGGTTGCTGGGATGACTGGTCCTGGTGGGGTTCGGAGTGGGATGAGGCCGAGTGGGCAGCTTGGCAGGCTTACGAGGCAACAACTTCCAAGAAGCAGAAGCGCAAGAGAGCTGCGCTGGCCGAAGGAGGTGGGGCGGGGGAGGATATGGATGCTACCACTTTGCCAAAGGCTAAGGCTAAGGCCAAGACGAAGGCCACACCAAAAGCAAAAGCAACAGCCAAGGACAGCAACAAGCGCAAGCGCAGGAACGATGATGATGAGGATGAGGAAGAGGAGCAAAAGGAAGAGCCCGCGCCCAAGCCGAAAGGCCGCAAGAAAGCCCTGCCGCCCGACGAGGATGGGGAGGATGATCAGGCTGATGATCAGGATGATGATCAGGATGATGATCAGGATGATGGCCCGGATGATGAAGGCCGGAAGACGTTTGCCAAGCGCTACAGGCCGCAGAAGGACTTCCCAGCTGCGCGGTGGGATGCGATCTGCGACGCCTTTCACAACCAGATCCGGCCCCACATCAAGTGCGCCCCGAGTGTGTACCAGGATCTATGCATATATACCATTGCACACATTGTTACTAATTGAGAGGACAAGTTTAATATCATATATAGATTTTTGTATGTATACATATATATATATATATATGTAGATGTATATATATATTTTTTTATACATATATGATCTGGGCCTCCCCCCCCCCCCCCCCCCCCCCCCAATGGTTCCCGCTCAAGGTCACCCCCCCGCCACGGACCCCACCCCCGCCTCCCCCCCCCCCCGCCTCCCCCCCCCCTCCCCCCCCTGCCCCCTCCCCTGTGGTGTGGTTGTGTGGGTTGGTTTTAGGGGTTAGGGTTTTACGGTTTTACATATATAGTTTTTAGGGTTTAGAGTTTATATATATAGGGTTTAGGGCTATGTGTAATTACATTTAGGGTTTGGAGTGTATGTATATACATATATAGGGTTTGGGGTGGGGGGAGGGGGGGGGGGCTGCCGAGCTGAGAACCGGGACCATAAATGAGAAGGCTCTTTTTTGTTTGCTACGTTTCCTATATGGATGTACTTTTTCTTGCCTCAAAAGCCAGCGTTCTGTGATGGGGTTGGGTTCCCGCAGGACCCCTTCTTCAAGTGGTGCATGCGCTTGCTGAAGGAGATGGACGATGTCAATATGGACAACATTTGCGAATGTGTGGCCAAGTGTGCCCTGGACTACTTGAAGAAAGTGCTGGGTGTCACGCCCAGTAAGAAGTGATGCCGCCATTTCAGGCAAAGCCTTTTGGCCGTTGCGGTGGAGAAGATTTTGGGGCCCTGGGTTCAGTGTAGGATGTGTGCTGCAGTGCACAGCCTCTTTGAGGATAGGTGTGCGACGTTGTCGTTGGGGTGCAGGGTGAAATGAACAACCCTGCTTGGGGTGACAAGGCCACCCTCCAAGAAAGGACTTGTGCTTAGTCTGCAGCAGGTTGCTTTTCAGGTGGCCAGTCGCTTGCTAAGATCGTTGCCAGCAGAACAGAAAGCGCTATCTGCGTGACGTGGAATTTGCTATAGTTGTGAACAGCATCGCTGGCTGCCTTGGCTACATCGATCGGGCCCTCACGATTTCCATTTGTCTGGGATCGAGGCGCTATAGGAGCTATGTGAGTATATAGCTTCCCTGATGTAGACTCATCTCGATCTTCTCTTGTCTTTTGCCTATAGGTAAATACATGGGGGGTACTGATGCTGAGACTCATGGCCACTCACAAGCAAGAGCGCCGATCCCTCGACCCCGAAGATCTCAAATCCGTGTTCTCGACCCATCCGGCTCTAGAGAAAAGGCGGCTTTCATACATTGCTGAAGCTTTGCCATTGCGACACAGCTTTCTCGTGTAAACAATCTCTGCAAGCTAGCTAACACCGACTTTGTCCCCCGAACGCACCGAAACCCATAGCAAGTAGACTCCCCAACTTAATTTACATCCAAACTCGCAACGAACCCCATCTCCTGAATTCCAGCTTGCCCAGGCCAAATCCACACGTGGGAATCTATGGAAGCTTCGCTTGGATCGCCTCGCGAAGAAGCGTGCTGCCGGCCACGGTTTGCGGGCTTTGTGTTTTCGGGCGGTGTTTATATAGGGCCTTATATATATAGGGTTTAGGGTTTATATATATATATATGTGTGTATATATATAGGGTTTAGGGTTTGTATATACATATATATATATATGTAGGGTTTAGGGTTTAGGGTTTATATAGGGTGAAGAGTTTAGGGTTTATATATACCTAAACCTTAAACCCTAAACCCTATATAAACCCTATAAACCCTATATAAACCCTATAAACCCTATAAACCCTATAAACCCTATAAACCCTATAAACCCTATAAACCCTATAAACCCTATAAACCCTAAACCCTAAACCCTGAAGGGTTTATATATATATATATGTATATAGAGGGTTTATATAGGGTTCAGGGTTTAATTGTTGATGTGTGCTGGATCGATGATGGGTCCTTTGCAAGACTGAAGGAATCGGGGGTTTGGGTATATATATATATATGGGTTTAGGGTTTATACATATATAGGATTTAGGGTTTAAGGGGACTTACACGAATTTGGCGCAGGATGTGGCCGAAATACCTGAACTGCCTGCCATGTTACAGTTTTGGGCTGAGGGACCAGTGCTCAAACTTTGTATTGCGCAGGGAGGTAGGGGCTTCGCAATGGTGGATGTGGATCGCTTGCTTTACGCCCTCAAGTTGTTCCAGGTTCCGAAGGAGCATCGTTCCCAAATTCAAATTGCCCACCCCGTCCTACATATATATTTAGTGCCCTAAAATTCCCTAGATAAGCCCGATAAACCCTAACTATAGGCGCACCCCTGAATGTTTGCGGTAGGAGTTTGTGCTCTGCCTCCTCCTGCTGATTTTCTGCTTCAGTGAGGATGAGCTGGCGCAGGCTCTTTTACTATGTTGCTTCGTCAATATATAATCGCCAGACCTAAGCAGCTCAATGTGGCCAGCTCAGGACTATGATTTCCTTGAGTTTTATGCTGGAAGAGCACGTACGACAGCAGCTATGCGAAGCAAATCCTATAAATCGGGGCGTTTCGATGTCAAATACCACGAAAAAAAACCGGGCCATCGCTCAAATTACATGGACCTCACCCACACCAGTGGCTTTCTGTGGCTTGCAAAGAAAGACTGTGTCATATTGTTCCCTGTACCTGCGACCATCTTGTAGGACCAAGTGCACTGTAAGTTCCCAGAGAAAGAAGTGAGCACAAACCCCACCTGCCAAGGCTTGCCTGCTATTTCATTTTGCGTGGCCGGCCACAGAGTTTTTTCGCGATCTTCGCCGTGAAATGTGCTTCGTTCTCTCAGATGAATCGAGGGACTTCCAAAAGATCTGCGTGCAGCAGTGTCGGCATGCCCCAGCATGCCTCTGTCAAGCAGGCGAACCAACTCTTAGAGAGGCCCGGAACCAGCAAACACCCCCCCGCCCACCAATCTACACAGTTGCAATAAACCCAATCCTTTTTTTACATGTAGAGCCACCCCAAAGCCCAATAATATATGTAGAGGCCAAATACCAAAGCTAAAGTTCAAGCCGAGCTCTTCGACCTCCGTGAAAAAAGCCCCTCTCCCACGAAATCCTACAGCCTGAAACCACTTTGAATAGACCGACTGGGCAGGTCCGTCCTCCTGATCTTTCTCGTAACCTCTCTCAGAGGAACTTGGTTCCTCGAACAACCCCGAGGATCATGCCTTGAATTTTATCCAACGTTTCGGAAACTGTTCATGGCACTTTACATCACCAGAGACCGGCCTGCAGTAACTTGGTTGCTGGTGTTCCTTTGAGGTCTGTAGGTTGCTTGTTTCTGGCGACACTGCTGTTGCACTGTATATATGTTCGTCTTCTCATGACCCTGAGGTATTCCGTGTCAGCTGGTGGATGGGCCACTTTGCTTCGGCCACACCGAAGCGTCACTATGGATATGCCAACAGTGCCAAAATTAGAAGTTTGGACCGAGGAAAGCTGCACATCAAATCCTTCACCGAAAGTCAGAAAGTCCGGACCAAAACAACCAAAAGAAGCATCAACCGTGAAGGAAAGGAGTGCTACACCGCAACAGCCTCTTTACGAGGCACCGAGAAGCCTGGCTGCCCCAAGTACTAACAGGTGTATATTAGAGCCCTTTTCAATCCCCATTCAAAACCGACGCCCAGAACTGAACTTTCCACCAAAGCCCCTAACATACATTGTCCCAAATAAGCTGTAGAACGCACCAGCCTCTGAAAGAGAGTCTATTGCCCCCACGTATCCTAGCCCCACAGCACATCTACAATATATGGGTGTACCGATCGGGAAAATACACACTTTATAGGGTTTAAGGTTTATATAGGGTTTAGGGGTTTATGTAGGGTTTATATAGGGTTTATACAGGGTTTAGGGTCTATATATATATATCTATGTATATATATAGGGTCTATATATATATATATATATAGGGTTTAGGTTTAGGGTTTCTACCTTCTATAGATTGGTTCCGCAATGTAAACCCTATATCTAACCCTATATAACCCCTATGTAAACCCTAAACCCTCAAACCCAACTGCTGCCCAGGGAGTATCCCGTCCAGTTTGCCTGCCACTTGGCCCGCCACTGCGAGATCCTCAAGAGCACCGGCGAGGGATATCCCCAGGCAGAGGTGGTTCCAGCAGCTACAGAGACTTTTCGGTCCATGATGTACAATTGTGAGCCTGAGCTATGGGAGTTCACGAGTTTCGAGCCACTGTTTGTGTATCTGCGTGGGGCCAAAAGGCTCAAAATCCCCGAAGAGTGGAGAGAGCTGATCCCCAGAAGCTTCCCCTCTTGAATGCGTTCGCTGCAACAACTGTGTGGTGCCCTGTAGATGTTCGGGGATGTAGCTTTCAGGGACAGATGTTCAACCGACCCATTGGTTTTGTAGGAGCAACATCTAGACTTCAGTTTCCGCGCCCCACCGAACCCCAACAATAGGCTATTTGACCCTGGAGCTAGAGGCCTGTGTCATAATGTTGCTGGAAAACCCATGGCTTCTCAAGGGTTCTCTGTTTGTTATTATCACCCCTATAGGTGTGGAGATCGTTTTTGGGTGCCGCTTGAGGTTTGGGTTAGCCCCAGAAGCCCTAACCCGTATTAAACCCGTATAAAACCCGTACTAACCCGTATTAAACCCGTATATTGCTACTAGCGCAGTCATAACCTACTTTTTTGAACCCGTATTTAAACCGTATTAAACCCGTATTTAACCCGTATAAACCCGTATTTAAAATATGGGTTTTTTTGTGTTCCCCCTAAGTCGGTGCCGTGGCACCAAATGATGGTCTGCAAGCACATGTTACACACAGATGCTGCGAAAATTCGTGATGATTGTGCTGCGAAGCACACGCATCGTTCTTCACAAGGCCGAAAAGCAAGCTTGTCGCCCACTCTTCAGCACGTTCATGCTCTTGTGTGCTGCTGAGCCTTCAAATCTGTCCTGTCTTGGAGACTCGAACCTAGCGCGGCCCTCTTGATGCCCTGCACAGCACACATGGCTGGCGCAGTGCAGTCCGGGTCATGGAGCACTGCCACCCTAGATGCGGGGATTAACCATGTGGAGCTTGAATCCACTGAAGCGATGATCCAACAGCTACAACTAGAGGAAGCCCAGCTCATGAATGAGCTGCAGGACATTCGGGATGCATTCTCGATCTGCAACACTGTTCGTAGATCGGCATCCCTAAGCCCTAAACCCCAAACCCTATATAAACCTTAAACCCTATATAAACCCTAAACCCTATAAACCCTATAAACCCTATAAACCCTATAAACCCTATAAACCCTATATAAACCCTAAACCCTAAACCCATAAACACTATATAAACCCTATATAAGCCCTATCAACCCTATATAAACCGTACATAAACCCTATATATAAAACCCCTATATAAATTAACCCTAAACCCTAATTATATATATATATGTATATATATATATATATATATAAACCCTAAACCCCATAAACCCCATAAACCCCACACACCCTAAATACACCCTATATATAAACACTCCCTAAACCCTAAACCCTATATAAACCCTTACATGCTGAACAATACATCAGCCCAAAAAAAGAAGGATCTCCGCAAGCCAGCCGTGGTTGATGCAACCGCAGATGCCTCCCAGCAAAACCATCTATATATGCACCATGCCGGTGCACTTGCCATGTTTTGATCGAAGCCTGTAAAGAATTTAAGTCGTTCCAAGGAATAGATAACAGGCGAGGACACCAACGCTCTGATGCACGCCGCTACCCTCCCCGCTTCTGATCTGAAATACAATAAAGCCCCTGACACCTTCAAGAACCCTCAATGTAAGAAGCCCTGTGTAGAGAGCACTCCTGTCTAAAGCCTATATAAACCCCAAACACACAGGCCCAAACCCTCTATGTGAACCCAAAAACGATCGAGGCTACTTCCGATGAACTTCGCTTGGCTGGGCTACCCCACGACAATCTAAGTGACGAGGTGGTCCAGGTTGATGCCGCCTGGCTGCACGTCATCGCACTTTGTTAAATGAGACCACATGTGTGTCCAAGTGAACTTTAACTTGCAAGCGAATTTTAGCATTTCTACCGGGGAAAATCGCAAGGACCTGGATGATGCTGATTTGAAACAAATGCTCGCGGCTGCTATCCCGGCTGCCGTGAAAGCGGAAGCTCCGGAACCAAGCTCGGTTTCCAAGGGTGGGGTAGGTGAGCCCCTGGATTGCAAGGACTTGCAGGCCAGCAGCACCAAAGCAAACCCTCGCCCAATCGCAACCCCCGCTCGCGCGCCTCCAGCGCCCTGTGCGCTCTCAGCGCCGCCAAAAGCAAGCCCAACGAAAGTCGAAGAACCTGCAGAGAAGAAGGCCCCAACACGCCAGGACAACAATCATTTGTATCTATATGTGTTTTTGTGATCTCGTTTACCAGTGCGTGCGGGGGTGGGATCTTGATGCTTCTTGGATGGAGGAGAAACTGTTTCTGGCAGCGAGATCACGACTGAACAGAATGATGAAGGCTCACAAGAAGAAAAAAAACGTACGAGGCCCCGGAATTCGCAAAGAAACACTGGGACGAAGGAAACAAGAAGGAGATGGCGATGCTCCTGCGCGATTGCAATTTCCTGAAGGACCTATGTGTGCATAGTTCGATCCATGGCCATATGAGAACCCCTGCTTCCCCAATAAGCCCTGCCACGTTTTCGAGGATGCTTTCTTTGGCAAGCTGGAGCGAATCGTATCGAGGAAAGAGAAGTACACTCTTAAAGTGGACGAGGGCTGGTACAGTGCAAGCGACATGAAGTCCGAACTCGGCTGGCCGCAGCACACTCCTCGGTACATGTAGACTACGTTTTTTGGGGCTTGGCTCGTTAACTTTTCGATAGCATCAGGTCCCGAATTGATGGAGCCATCAAGTTCTGCCGCACCATGGGCGACAGCCATTGCCGGTTGGGGACTTTCACAATATAGAGTGGACCAAGATGGTATATAGGGGAGGGTCGAGGCATGTTTTATGTACAAACATATATGCCCATTCAGGAAGAACTTGTACGACGGAGAGGAGGAGTTCTGGGTGACAGTCAGGGAGACTGGAAGCAGGAAAGAGGTCTTGTCCCAAGAAGAAAGGACAACTGATGCCGAGGTGGTTCCTCTGCAAGCAATACATTCTCCGATCGGGTCTTCTGTTGCTTTCCTGTGTCGGGGTTAATATGGCGGATGCTCGTGGCACTCAGGCTAGTGGACCTGTGAAGTTGACTTCTTCGTTTGATCGGATTAGCGCCTACGAGAAGAGCGCCGAAGCCCAACACCAGCAAGCCTCCAAGACAGCTGAGCATATCAAGGCCTGCCTATGGCCCTGAATGATTGAATGACTTTCGCCCCTAAACCCCAAACCGAAACTGCAGACCGGCGACGCCCTCACCAAGTTCTGTGAGTCCCTGCTGGGCAAACTCTCGAAAGTTCGAGCCCTCATCAAGGATCTTACAAAGAATTACGCAGAGCCCGATGTGCAGAAGCCACCAACCTGCACCCAATAAACCCAGCCGAAAGAACCTACCTAATCCCAGCCCGGAGCCTGATGCCAGAGCCAGCCCAGGCACGTCCAGACCTTGGAGGCTGAAGTTACCAAGATGGAGGACCAACACGAGCGTTGCCAGCTAGTCTTGAGTGAGGGTGACATGAATGGCTGGAAAGATGTAAAGTGTCTTGCCCAAATACTTCTCGCTGCTTCTTGCTTTGAGAGTTAGATGCAAGGAGTCCTATGTAATCTCCTATAGATGCACCTCAGGTTCCTGATCACTGCCGAATCCAGGATGAAGGAAGCCACGTTTGTGTAGAAGTCTCAGCTTCAATCGTATATGTACTTGCAACCTTCTTCTTTGCAGTACATGTCGCAACCCTGAATACAACCAAAGCAGTTCTCAACCGAAGACTTGGGTCCCACAAGGTGCAGCAAGGCTGTGGCTGCCGAGACTCGCATCAGGACTGGATTCTGTAGTTCGGAGCTTCTTGTTGCTAAATTCGTAGAAGGGTCTTGTGAACCAACCCTAAACTCCCTAAACCGTATCGGCGCCCTCAACCCTCGATCTATGTATCTAAACCCCAAGTCATATACAATTATAAACCCGTTTGTTTCGGTTTTTTTTAATAACACTGGATAAACCCTAAACCCAAACCCGCCAACCCACAAGAAGGACCCCCGGAATCTCAGAATATACCCACTTCGCAGGAATGCCAAGAAGTTCTTCGACAGAACTCCGAGAGCCGCGCAGGCCAAACCAAGGCCAGCCACGAAGGCAACTGGTGGAGATCCTCCGGCCAAAAGGGTCAGGGGGAAGAGTGGTAAGAAGTAGGGGTGGTGATCAGAGCGGTGACGCCGATCGACTTGAGGTTTGTTTAACAAGTAGCGGGCTTAACCTGCTGCTTGTGATGTGTCGCTGACATGTGAACACCATGCCTTACTTGAGGCCCTGGCTGCCACTTCGCACCATGTAGGCCAACCAATCGTCCGGCCTTGTCCGTTGAACTTTCGACACACATTCATCATATGTACTTCAGAGAACAGAGGGCCTCAGGCATGACATGTCTCAACGTTCCTTAAGGGGACTGGGTGCTTGTGGTTTTCACCGCAAGGCTTCAGCAACGATTCATGCGGGGCCAAAGCAAAACTGCATGACCTCCGAAGGCTCTTGTCAGAAGTGATCCCTGTCCATCCCGAAACTAAGCTTTCCCAAAACGGAGCCCCGCCAGGTACCAAGCCTGGACACGTAGCGCGCGGACTCTCCGCAGAAATCGGGGCTGGAGCCAGGACCTCAGACCCGATCGGCCGTGCCAGTCCATTCGCAGCTGCCCCTTGCACCCCTTCTGGATACATGTATCTGGTCTGAAGATTTTGGGCCCATTTTCTATAGCGCTTAGTTCCCGATGGCTGCTCAATGCCGCCCAATGCGATGTGTAGCAAGTTGATGGCCTCCCAAACTATGTGTGACACTGTGGAATGTGAGCTCATGGAGTTACTCACGTGCCATCGCTCAGTGCCTTGACAAATGTTTTGCTCTCCAGCTTCATAAATTGTAAAGTGCATTGTTCACTTTTCTCAACACATATAAGGAAGCCGAAGGCCCATTTCCATGGAGCACTTCCCGATCGAGCTCTAAAGATTCACAAGGTGCCAAAGTATCGGTTCGCTCACGCTCACAACCCGCAGCTCTCAACGAAGACCAGAACGCTAAGAATGATAGGGACAGACGCTCTGATGAGTTTCTGATTGACAACCCCAGGGCCATGGATTGCCTGCGTTCCCGGATGTCTGAGAAAAGCGCCGTGGATCTCGAGGTGCCACTTGTGCTTCGTCTGCCTCGCAAGAGCTTGCTTGCGGGTGCGGTGCTGCAGCACGCGCTTGCTGTCGTGGGTACTTATCTGGCAAGGTACGAACCCATGATCTATAAATTCGGCTGGACTCACGATCCTTTCTGGAGGTGGTCGAATGATTTGTACGGGTACCAACGTGATGTGGACTCCTGGTCAGAAATGGTTATCCTGCACGTGTCGCATGAGGCTTTTGGTCCTGCCATGTTAGAAGCCTCGCTCATCAATCAGTTTCAGGGTATCTCGACAAAACTGTGTGCGAAACCCTAAACCCTAGATACACCCGAAACCCTCTATATACATACATATATAGACCCTAAATAAACCCTACATAAACCCTAAACCCTTTCAAAAGACCAAGAATAAGCCCTTATAAGAATGTACGTATATACCAACACAGACTATATATTTAAGCCCTTTCCCCTGTAATATGATAAGGGTGCGCCCGGCCCTCCCCGCCCAGCCCCCCCACTGTGTGGTGTGGATGTGGGTTGGTTTTAGGGTTTATGTAGGGTTTATAGGGTTTAGGGTTTAGGGTTTAGGGTTCCTAAACCCTAAACCCTAAACCCTAACCCCTTTTAACCCTAAACCCTAAAACCCTAATGGTGTGGTTGTGGGTTGGTTTTAGGATTTAGGGTTTAGGGTTTTAGAGTTTTAGGGTTATATATACATAGAGGGTTAAGAGTTATATGTATATATATATATGTATAATTATATATAGGGTTTAAGGTTTGTGTATATATATAGGGTTTATGGTTTCTATAGCGTTTATATAGGGTTTAGGGTTTATGTATATATATATGCATATCTATGTGGTTTAGGTAGGGGCCTTTGGGTACCAAAGGGGAGGGGCTGGCGAACCAAGAACCGGTATCAAAAAACAATGAACCCAAATGCATCCCGCTCCAGCTTAGGCAGGCCTGGCTGCCGAAATGTTCGCCAGGGCGGTGACACGATCACGGAAGGTGCAACCTCGGAGGATATCTTCATGACTTATATGGTGTACAGATCGTTTAGGGACAAGCCGAGCCCGAATGAGAGGGCATTCAAAAGAAAGCGCCCAAGCACAAATTAATGCTTCATGTCGTGTGTGCACAACGCTCAACGTTTCTGTGCTAGATGCTTGCGCAGTGGGAGTCAAAGAGCTTGCCTCTCTCTTTTGCATGGTTGCCCTGCCAGCAACACGAAACCCTGCAAAGCAAATGCCCATTTGATCAGCATGCCCCAGCGCAAAACCAACGATATGCATGGCCCCTGCGCCTTAAGGCTTCATGCTCCGCGGCGGTGCGGGTGGCCCGGAACGTGGTTCGGGACATTGGAGTGGAATCAGCTGCTAAGAGTCCAGGGCTGCTGAAAGTAGCAAGATGTAGTGAAAGCAATGCTGAAAGAGATACACACCGAGTACTGGTCAAGCAGTGTAAGCTCGGCCTTCCTATTCCTTTGAGACGACTGGGACGTGGCGAGCTGGATTACACAGTGCTCCGTTTGCGCGATTGGTTCCAGTGGCTTGTGAACTCCAATTGCATTCACACCTTGACAGGGCTCACAGCTCCTGACCACACCAGAGAGCGTTGTATCTTGAAAGAATTTTGGTCCCGATACAGGAGCTCCAACGGGGACCACCCCGTCTTCCGTTTGGCAGCACAAGGAAGGCTGAAGCTCGAGTCGACTGTTCCGCTCCTGTATCACGGGGATGAGGGGCGAGGAAGGAGACGAATGCCCTTTTTGGTTACTTCGTGGTTCTCTATGATAGGCCGGGGTGCGAGACCTGCAGATCGTCGAGCAAGAGCAACAAATGTGCGCAAGCCTTACGTGAAGCTTCGCCCCAACTTCAAGGGCCACAGCTTTGTCACCCGGTACCTTCAAGACGCATGGCCCGATGTCGTAGGAACATGTTTCGGTTTGGTCTTTGTACATGTTGCAGGAATAAGACAAGCGATAGTGCGAAGTGGGTTTACACAGCTTTTGTCTTCGTAAATTCAGGAAGCCCAAAACAATTGTGAAATGTAGCTATCGATGTATCTTGCTTTCGTGACATACGAAACATCGTTTCGCAATGAAGACACATATAGACATCCAAGGCTGCGATGCCCAAGAAGGCCTATCAGAATGAGACCGTGTTTCAAGCCATCCTGAAGCAGTGCCGCGCCGAGAGCAACTTCCTTACTTACCATGGTGTAAGCCACGAGCGCACAGGCGAGAAGTTGTGGGGAGTGGTTCTTGCAGTCACAGGTGACTGGGCTTGGCTGGTGAAGAGCGGGGGTTTGCGGCGGAATTTCAACCACGCCGTTAAATCGGTGAAAGATGTTGCGCAACCGGAGGGTATTTGCCACTTATGCGCCGCAGGGATGAAAGATCATCCATTTGAGCATCTGACTCACAGCCCTAGCTGGCTGAGCACGTTCTGCCAGATTGATCCTTTTCTGGACCAATCGCCTTTGAAAGGTTTGCTGCACGCAGATGGCAGAGCAGCCACCCTGTTCCAGTTCGATGTGTGGCACACATGCCACCTGGGCGTCTGCCGAACCTTTGCCGGTTCAGTTCTCGCTTTGCTCAGCGAGACGTTTCCTGGTCGATCAAAGGACTCCAGATTCGAGGCCCTTTCGGAGGCTTACATGGCATGGTGTGCGCGCACCAAACACCAAGCCCTTTTGACCAAACTGACGAAAGACACGATAGGCTGGGACAGCAACAACCAGTTCCCATGCGGGAACTGGTACAAAGGCTCATTGTCAAGGACAATGTGCGACTTCATCGAGGACATGACAGCGGGACAGGAGTTCGAGGATGACATGCTTAGGTTGTCTGGTGTGGCCGTGCGTGCTTTGAACAACTTTCTCCGAGGTTTGTACGAGGCGGACATTTTCCTGGACCGTCACACTGCTTCGACCTTGGGTGAGCATGGGCTTGCGTTTCTGGACCTTTATAGCCAGCTGGCGTCCTTGGCTGTGCAGCGCCAGCGCTGTTTATTCGTTCTCATACCGAAGCTGCACAGCCTGCACCACCAAACCCTGCAGGACTTGGTCTTGGCTTCCCGATTTTCGGACTTCGTAGTCAGTCCGTTGTGTTACTCAGTTCAAATGTCAGAGGACTTCATCGGAAGGCACAGTCGCACCTCGCGAAGGGTCCACCCGGCCCTATGTACACGACGCTGTACAGAAAGGTTTCTGCAATTAGCCTACACGAAATATGTGGAGGCGGGGTATTTGCTGCCTGCGCAGCAAGACTAGGTAGAGTAGGGCACAAATCGAGAAGTGTGGGGCTGTGTGAGTGAACCCCCTAAAAGAAGGTCCTAAAGACCCTCAAAGGCTCTAAACCCCATATAACATATAAAGGCCCTAAACCCTATATATATAAAGACCCTAAACCCTAAAGACCCTCAACCCGAAATATATAAACCCTAAAAATCCTACATATAGAAATAAGCCCCTTTGCCAACCTTTTAAACTTAGCTTCCAACCTATATATATATATATATATATATATATGTATTTGTTTAGACTCGATAATGTAAAATATGTAAAAGCACCCACGCCCTGAAAGCCCTTCTTGATGAAGCCCTGCATGGGGCTCCCGGCATGGCTCTCGATGACGAGCACCGCCAGGCAAATGATCGAAGTCATTATCTTTCTGGGATTTTCTCTCGGGCAGGGCTTGTTTCGGAAGCTTGAAAGCTCAGGTTTGGGATTCTATTGAACAATGGGATTGGTTTGCTGGGCTTTTGGTGGGATCTGGAGTTCTGATGCTTATACTCAGAGGCTTGTAAAGGTTGGATATAGGGGTATACAAGGACGTCTTGTGTAATCAGCAGATAACCACACAGGTTGTGGCTAAATGGCTGAGTTAGGAAAACCCGGTTTCCCTAAAGAACCCGGTTCTCTATTCCAAACCCCGGTTATTTTTAAAAACCTACAATTTCTTAGGGTCTAGTCGGTCTGGGTAGTGCGGAACCCTTACAACGGGACGCATGGAGAGCGGAGTACCCATATTGAGTGCTCAACTTGCAGAGCGTTCAGCGTTGCACTCCCTCAAGCCTGCCTCAGGCTCGGGATAGTTGTGCCAATGCTGGCCACTGTGGCCCTTCCTGCAGCAAGCACCCCAGCCGTGTTCTTTTGAAGCGGTGAGTGGCGGGAGTTCCAGTGCCCTAAACCCTAAACCTTATAAGCCCTAAACCCTAAACCCTACACCCTAAACCCTATAACCTTATAAACCCTATAAACCCTATAAACCCTATAAACCCTGTAAACCCTAAATCCTAGACCCTAAACCCTAAAACCCTTCCTTCTTTTCTTCGGGACACCGATTGAGTCCACTTCGATGCCTGCTGCTGAGGATGGACGCACGAAGACGGGGTAGCACATGCCCGCTCAAAACCTTGAACTTCCGGCATTTCCAGGGGAGCCACTGTTTAGGGTTTAGGGTTTAGGGTTTAGGGTTTAGGGCCTGATCCCTACAATTCTCAGCCCTTGCTCTGCAGTCAAGTAAGTCCATAATGGCTTAGGGTTGAACTCCCAGACACTGAACCCTAAACACTCCTAACCCCTAAACCCCAGACTCCTTAAAACCCTGCCTCCTAGCCCCTAAACCCTACACGCAGATGAGGCCCCAAAACCTTCTCAAAACCCCTAAGCCCTAAGCCAAACCCTAAAAACCCTAAACCCTAAACCCCTAAACCCTAAACCCTAAACCCTAAACCTTTCCAGCTAAGCTTTGGCCGCTCCTCCTTGGCGCAGCCGGGCTGTGGCCCAGCTCGATCTCACCCGGCCAGGCAGGTTTAGGGCCTTTAGGGTTTGGGGTTTAGGGTTTAGGGTTTAGGGATAGGGTTAGGGTTTAGGGTTTAGGGTTTGGGGTTTAGAATTTAGGGTATAGGTACGAAGTCCTCCTAAGCCCTCATCAGAATTTAATGGGTCAGGGTACAGGGTACAGGGTACAGGGTGCAGGGTGCAGGGATCAGTGTGTAGGGTTGAGGGTGTAGGTACAGCAGTGTTCAGGTTTTGGAGGGTTTTGGTGGGAGACTTGCAGTGACTTGCTTCCATGTTGACGTCAGGCGGCGGCGCGGGCGTTGTTCACGTCCGTGGCAGCTGACTTCCTTTCCAACGCACACTCCTTCGCAACCTGCTCGCAAGGCAGTGCACAGCCTTAAGGAAGGCTTCGACGATGAAGATGAACGGGGCTTCGAAGGCTTTGAAGGGCTTGAGGGTGCGGGGGAAGCGGGGGGAATTCAGCAGAAGGCACGCTCGTGAGAGTGTCGGCCGGGGGAAGGGCGGAGGGTGGGGAGGGGAAGGGGCAGACAGCATCAACGACTGAGGTCATTATTGTATGCAACCATGCTGGACGCGACCTATACCGCTACTCCACATCTTGCAAGGACGGACTGTTTTGGCTGCTTGTTTTTTGTTTTTTGCTCCGCACGTGCTGCGAAGTGTTCTCGTTCTGAGAGTTGGGGCGGGTGGGGGGACTGGGACATGATCCGCACCCGTGGGTTTCGCGGCCGCCACGGCGTTCGCAGCCCCCCCAAACCCCTAACCCCTAAAAGGTCCAAAAATCCTAAACCCCAGCCCCTAAACCCCTCCTCAACCCTGAGCCGCTGGACCTCAGGTCTTTTGGGTTTGGGGTTTAGGGTTCAGGGTTTGTAGGGTTTAGGGTTTAGGGTTTAGGGTTTAGGGTTTAGGGTTTAGGGTTTAGGGTTTAGGGTTTAGGGTTTAGGGATTGCATCCTGTGACGAGGCTCACTCTGCCGAGTTCCTCCTGCGGTGCACCTACTCATCGGCCAACTTCGAGACTGGAACCGATGCTTTTCTTGCATCTTGTGCTGCCCTTTTGCTCCAAAATGGTAATGTTTAGGGTTTAGGGTTTAGGGTTTAGGGTTTAGGGTTTAGTGTTTGGGGTTTAGGGTTTAGGGTTTGGGGTTTGGGGTTTAGGGTTCAGGGCTTAGAGGAGGCTGTGGAGACGGTTTGTGAACCCGGTGCGCTCAGGAGTTGATCGACACTGTGTACGGGTGGCTGAACTACCAGGCAAGCTGCTGTATTGCTTTCTGACAGTGACAGAGGCTCGAAGGTACCCTATTTGTGGTCTCAGGGCCCCTAAACCCTAAACCCTAAACCCTAAACCCTAAACCCTAAACCCTAAACTCTGAAAACCTGTAGGATTTCGGTGTTCTTCGGACCTGAAACCACACATGGAGGGTACTTGGGGGCCTTCAGGGTGGCACTGACGTATTTGCTTTTTCAGGAGGGTGGCTGTCAAAATTCTGCTCCCTTTTGGGGTACCCTAAATATTAGGTGCCTAAACCCTAAACCCTAAACCCTAAACTATAATCGGGATCCAAAAGGGGACCATCATGTTGACAACCACCCAGGTGGAGCACCACATGTTTCCGGACATGACTCCGCTTCAGTGCCTTGGGACAATCCTGGTTTAACCCTCTAGGGTTTGGGGTTTAGGGTGGGAAGTTAAGGAGATAGGGTCCCCTGGAGTCATTTTAGGGGACATGATACCTACTTCCTTACATCCCGCCCTAAACCCTAAACCCTAAACCCTCAACATTGTAGCCACTGGGCGAAGCCCGTGCAGGTACCGGAAGCTGCAGCCGCTCGTGAAGAGCAGCTTGTCTCAAGCCCTGATCCCTCGGTGCTGGTTCGGGGTTATTTAGGGTTTAGGGTTTAGGGTTTAGGGTTTAGGTCTAGGGTGTACGGTGTAGGGTGTGGTGTTTGGGGTTTAGGCTTCAGTCTCCGCATTCACTGAATTGAGTTGGGTTGCAAGGCATTTGCAAGAAGCACAACGTGCAGTATGTGCAGATGAACGCCCTTCGCCGTACGTGGATGATGTTTCAGGTTGCAGCTGCTCGGCAAGACTACACCGCCCAAGCCCTAAACCCTGAACCCGAAACTCCCTACACGAACAGGAACAGAGGGTGTAGGGCTTAGGGTTTTGGGTTGAATGTTTAGGGTTTAGGGTTTTGGGCACTTCATCATAAGCAGTCGACCACTTTTAGGTACCCTCAACAGTATGGAATACCACGCTACTTCTAGTGGCTTGCTTGAAGCTTTTGGATGCCCTCGGCTTGGTGCATCATTGCTGCTCTGAACTATAAGGAATGTACGGCTATATTAACCAATGTCAGCTGCAACAACTACATTCAAAACCCCTAAACCCTAAACCCTAAACCCTAAACCCTAAACCCTAAGCTCCAAGGCCCTTAAAACCTTCAACAGACCCCAAGCCCTTGATTGCCCTAAATCCCAAAGTCCCAACAACCCTCGAAGCACCCCATCCTCGAGACCCCCGCCTCCGCCCTAAACCCCAAACCCTGTTTAGGGTTTACGGGGCTTAGGGTTTAGGGTTTAGGGTTTAGGGTTTAGGGTTTAGGGTTTAGGGTGTAGCTTAGCGTTTAGGGTTGAGGTTTTCCCACTTCGCGCCGTTGTCCAGGTCGGAGACGCCGACATGAAGCGCTGCACGGCCCACCCGCCTGCTTCGAGTTTCGGGTTCCAGGGTGTAGGGTTTAGGGGTGTAATTAGGGTTCAGGGTTTAGGGTTTAGGGTTTAGCGTTTAAGGGCATGGAGTTGAGGGGTTTGAATTTAGGGTGTAGGGGGTTGTACAATAGGTTGTTAATCAGTTTTCGAAGTAGAGCTTGACTAATATTTGCTGAAGAACCCCCGGAAGACTAAATACTAAAAAGTCTTCACAAGGGCAACATAACATAGGGAGTCTTTTCTTTTATTTTGCGGGGGCGGGCGGGGGGGGCTTCAGAAGCATACAGTCGTTTTTGCAGGTTGAGAGTTCTAGAAGCGCCCCTACTTATAGGATTTTTAGGTAACCCACAAAAAGGGTTTGGGGTTCTTAATTAAGGAAAGGCTTTAGGTAGGGCTTTTGAAGGGTTTGAACGAATTAGGGTTGCTGTTGCTACGGTGTTTGGGCTCTCGATAGGGTTTCAAGAGGGCTTATATGGTTCGGCGCAGGGGCCTGTGTAGTTCCCAATACTAGGCCTTCATGTCTAGGGTTACGGGTTTAAGGCTTTGGGTTTAGGGTTTAGGGATGTAGGGTTTAGGGCTTTAGGTTTAGGTGTTGTTTGCAATGAACTAGGGTGACGGGTTCAGGGCTCGGGATTTAGGGTTTGCCCAGTGCCAAGCTTGCTAGGTAATTTAACCTGAGTGCTTAGTCAAGAGCCCGGGATTGGACTTTTAGTGTTTAGAGCTTAGATGGAGGGTGTAGGGCGTCATCTCTCTTTTGGG